CCCCCCCCCCTGCCGTAAATGCGGGCTCAAGTTACAACGCTATCCCAATAGCCAATTGCGTCGCAAGTCGGGAGCAGCCTGGATCCCGAAATAGCTACCCCGTGTCTATTGAAGCAGCCCGTTCTGTCGGAACAGATTTCGGAATAGGGATGTGAACGAGCAGTCGACTGTTCGACAAGCAAATGCTTATTGGACAGTCAACACACTAGTCGACTAGTTGTCTCCCCTCCTCCTTGCTGTCTCTATCAGAAACAGGCAGCAAGGGAGAGGGGGGAAAAGAGAAGGGAGCAATACAAAGCGGCAGCACTGCATGGAGCCTGGGACCAGACTCTGGGCTCCACGGCGCTGCTGCTTTCAAACATGCAGCCCGGGGCGGAGGCCCCAGGCTGCATGCGGCGTTTCAAAGTGGCAGCACCATGTGGAGCCTGGGATCAGCTGGGGGCTCCCCCGCTGACACTGGGCTCTGTGCTGCTGCTTTGAAACGCCGCGTGAAGCCTGACGCTGGGAGCCCGGGGTCAGCGGGGGAGTCTCTAGCTGACCCCGGGCTTCAGGTGGCATTGCTGCTTTGAAACGCCGCGGGCAGCATGGGGCTAGTGGGGGACTGCCCCGCTGGCCTTGTGCTCCCCGCAGCGCTTTCACCTTTGCAGTGTAGCATCAGCCCTCGGGCAGAAGCTCCCTTCTTGACTAATCGAACAGCTGATGCAAACTGCATCGACTATTTGATTAGTCAATCAAAACGTAACATCCCTATTTCAAAATAACAGGCGGCTTATTCCGACTTCCCAACAGCCCTCGTTCCACAAGAGTTAAGGGAAATTTCAGAATAGCGAGTTATTTCGAAATTTGGCCCTGTGTAGACAGCACCAAGTTACGAAAGAAGCTGTTTCGAAATAGCATTGAAATAAGCTACGCAATTTGCATAGCACAAATTGCCTAGCTTATTTCGAGCTAAGAGTGCAGTGTCGACGCACCCTGGGAGACCAGAAGTCCAGCTCCGGCGGGGAGCCTGCCTCTGGGCACTGCAGGCTGGGGATGGAACCCCCTCGAAGAGCCCACTTTCGGCTGTCTCGAATTGGGGCTAGCCCACACGCCACCCCCAAACCCGAACCGCAGTGACATTCCTGACCCAGGTGCCATGCTCAGACAAACCCTGCCCCAGAGCATGATGGGAATTATAGCAGAGTGTCTCCTGGCCACAGGGAAGAGCTGGGGAGGGGCAGAGATGAGCCACCAAGGCCGTAACCTCTACTGGAGACTTTCAGTGGCCCAAGCACGGGGACCTCTGCCACCTTTTTCTACTAGGGACGCCACAGACTCAGAGAGTTGCTCTAGACAGACCTAAATCAACACGGCTGGCTCAGGGGCCCGAAAACAGGGTACAGAGCCTCAGGGCTGGAGGCTGCCCCGAGTCTAGCCCAGGCCTGGTTTCTGGGGAGAGCGCTTCCTTTGCCCTGTGAGAGGAGCTTGGTGGGTCTCAGCCCATGGAGCACGTTAATAAGCCACCCGTGTCCAGGCGTCACTGCCCACCTCAGCAGAGGGCACGAAGGGGACAGGCTGGGGAGGCTGAATCTCATCCCCAGGCAATGGCAGGCAGCACGGGGCCCTGATGAATTTGGAGCCCGGTTGTCTGGGGCCCATGGAGAGCCGCTGACTGACCAGTTGTGACTGGCTCTGCAGGCACCAAGTCTCCCACCGACTGCAAAGAGCTGCTCTAAGCCATCTCCCCTGCACCCCGGGTGGGGGAGCTCCGAGAGTCCCTTGCTTCTGCTCCAATATAAAACTATGGGGGGGGACGGAGAAACCACCAGACACCCATGGGGTGCCATCAAAACCTCCCCAGGGAAAGGCCCGTAGGAGATGTTTATTTGCCAGCGTCACTTTCAGCCCCCCGAGATCTTCTCCCTTAAAGGTCTGATTCGGACTCGCTGCTTGGAACGTGCTCCCTACAGAAATCAGATCAGAACGAGAGTGAGATCTCTGCCCCGGGTGATGCAGAGCCTGTCCACATGGGAAGAGAACATGAATCCCGCCCAGAGACCTGGCTCAAGCGGGTCCAAGGACAAGAGGGGCAGCCAGGAGAGCCCACAGCGTGATCCAGGCATGGAACACATGGCGGTTGGGCAAAAGGTGGGCGCCCCAGCTCGGAGGTAGCATGGTTCCCCTGTGGGCTTAAGACAAGACGGAAGAGACAGCACTTGGTGACTTGAAGGCGACGTGTGATAGCTGATAGCTGATAGCTGCTACTTCCTTGCGCCTCTGATTCCTGCCTGTGTCAAACACTGCACCAGGCTCCCAGCTGCCTGTCCCCCCGCCCCCCGCCTGCTTTCACTGTCCCCAGGCAGCAGGTCTGCATTCCACCAGAGCAGCTCCCTGCATGTTGCTGATCCCCTCCTTTTGCTTGTTCTGGGCTTCCTCAGCCACTCACTCCTGCTCAGGGTTCAGCGCCAGCTGCCTCTCCCACTCGGCCTCGATCACCCGGTACAACTCCATGGTGGCTTTGGCGTCTTCCACCGAGGAGTGGCCGTTTTTGCCGATCTGTGGAGAAGAACGGAAGAGAAGGAATGTTAGAATAAGTGACGTTGGCCAGTGTGACCACCCAATACCAGCGATCCTTGCTCGCGGCTTTCCCAGGTGATCAGAGCCCCAGAAAGCAGGCAGCTTGTGACCAGATTAGCTCCATTGCACAGACAGGGAAACTGAGTTCCGGACAGGGGACACGAGCTGCCCAAAGTCACCAATGGTAGAGCTGGGAATAGAACCCAGATCACCTGAACCCCAGTCGGGTGCTCTATCCACTACACCGCACTGCAAGCGACATCTGGAAAAGGAAAGGCCTCACCTCGCTCACTAGTGACACCTGCTGGCCAGCCAGGGGATAGCACCTAATTCTTCTATGCAGGAACCAAATCCTCCTTCGCTTCTGGAAGGAGCTTCTCCTTGAAGCAGGAGCTCAGCTCTAGAGCGACCCCTGGTGGCTGGTGCTGGGAGCCAGGGAGGCTTTCAGGATGGGCAGATGGCCAGACACAGCACAGGCAGCAGGAAGCGAGAAGACATGGGCATGGGCCAAGATTTCCAGGACTGCCTGCATTGGCCCGGGCACTGGTAAGCACAGTGTGGCTGGTGCCTGGGGACCTGTCCCAGACGCAGAAGTACCTGGATGTCTTTGTGCAGTAGCTGCTTGGTGAGGCGTTTCAGCGAGGCCGACTCGTACTCCGGACGTGTCCCTAGTCACTGATTTTGGGTGGAAATACTTAAGCGCCTTGAAGTCGTTGTGGATGGCATGGCCGACCACGATCTTCCCTGTCAGGATCTTCAGGATCTGCAAGGGAAGGAGAGCAGCTCAGGATCTGGGAATGCTAGAGAACGGTGCTCGGGCAACAATGCATGCACTAAGGCTATGTAACCGGGGCCAGCGCTGAGGGGAAAGCACCCTCTACCGAGTTACCCATGCTGCTCCCTGTAGCCCAGTGCCACGTGGGTGCTTTGGGATCAGTAGTGACTGCAAGGAACAGCACCTGCTAAGAACATAAACCTAAGAAGGGCCAAACGGGGTGAGATCAAAGGTCCATCTAGATCCTACCCATCGCCTAATCCCAGTTTCTGACAAACAGTCTAGGAACACCATTCCTACCCAACCTGGCTAATAAGTATTGATGGATCCATCCCCCAGGAATCTATCTAGCTATTTCTGAACCAGGTTAAAGTCCTGACCTTCACAACATCCTGTGGCAAGGAGTTCCACAGGTTGACTGTGCGTCATGTGAAGAATGATTTCCTTGGGTTTGTTTTAAACCTGCTGACTATTAATTTCATTTGGTGACCCCTAGTTCTTGTGTTATAGGAGCAAGTTTTACTTATTTACTTTCTCCACCACACCAGTTGTGACTTTATAGACCTCTATCACATTCCCTCTTAGTTGACTCTTTTCCAAGCTGGAAAGTCCCAGTTTTATTAATCTTTCCTCATATGACAGCCTTTCTATGCCCCACAGTATTTTTGTTGCCCTTTTCATAATGTTTTCCAGTACCAGGATATCTTTTTTTAGATCAGACGACCACGTCTGTATTTAAGATGTGGGCGAACCATGGATTTATAAGAGGCAATAAGATATTCTTTGTCTTATTCTCAATCCCTTTTTTGATTCCCAACGTTCCGTTTGCTTTTTTGACGGCCGCTGCACATGGACTGGATGTTTATGGACTGGATGTTTTCAGAGAACTCTCCACAGTGACTCCAAGATCTCTCTTGAGTGGTTGTAGCTAAATTAGTCCCCATCATTCTATACGTATAGTTGGGATTATGGTTTCCAATGTCCCTTACTTTGCATTTATCAACATTATAATTCATCTGCCATTTTGTTTGCCCCATCACCTAGTTTTGGTGAGATCCTTTTGAAGCTCTTCACCGTCTGCTTTGGTCTTAAGTCTCTTCAGCAGTTTTGTATCATCTGCAAATTTTGCCACTTGATTACCCCTTTCTCTTACTGAGTAATCCATATCACTCCCTAGCACTGGGCCAGCATCAGCTCAGAGGGGAGAGTGTCGCCTACAGAGTCACCCACACTGCTTCCCGAATCCCCCCCAAGATCTCCTCTGCTCTCTGGTGCCAGCAGGGACCATGCCTGAACCAGTGTTGTCTGCAAGCTCGGCTTGTCTGCTCTAAATTAAAGAAGATTGCCTATCTCCTAGAACTGGAAGGGACCTTGAAAGGTCATCGAGTCCAGTCCCCTGTCCTCATAGCAGGACCAAGTACCATCCCTGACCATTTTTTGCCCCAAATAGCCTCTGCAAGAATTGAACTCACAACCCTGAGTTTAGCAGAGCAATGCTCAAACCACTGAGCTATCCTTCTAAGTGGTGTCTCTCTGCACTGTTCCATGAGGTGCCAAAAAGCCACCAAGAGCCAGGCACATAGAGCTGACACTGGGAAAACCCACCACCTACCACTGAATTAGACATAACTGTTAGTATGGGGGCAACAAAAAAATAAAGGCATCATCACCCTCAAAGAGAGGTTGGAGCGCCCTCTAGTGGGCAGTCAACAAAATAGGTTAGCCACAGACAGCAGCTTTGAGTCAGGGACCAAGTTTGAGCAGGACTCAGCATGGCTAGCATAGCGGTGTGGGTATAGTCCGGCACTAGCTCAGCCTGGATTCAAAAAACCTCTAGTGTAGCTGCAGCCTCAATGAAGGGCCTGTTCTTCAGACACCCGCACCTCCCAAGTGGTTTGTCTCTTTGGCTAATCTAATTACGGCATAAATGTAAACCTTTCCGCGGACCCCCAGTTACCTGGCTAAATGTAAACCTTTCCGCGGACCCCCCAGTTACTATTGGAAACTCACCATTAATTACATAATTACACCTGAGCCATTTTGCTAGTGCTTCAGCTAGGGAGAACAGTTTAATTTAAATGATTAGGCAGATTACGCGTTTTAACTTTCTCGTGTTAGTTTATCGTACTTCACTTTCAATAAAGTAAAATCGGAGGTCCAACACGAAAGGTTTCAATGTTTTCTTTATTTATAGCAGGGGTGGGGAACCTTTTTTGGCACAGGGGCCACTGACCACAGAAAAATCAGTTGGGGACCACACATGTGAGAAGCAACAAAACTCCTCCAAAAACCCCCAACCCTCACTGATGTGGCCCCCAACTGAGACATCTCACTCCTCTGGTGCTCCAGTCCTATGGGGCGAGGGGAAGGGACAGGGAGGACTGAGGTTCTGGACTTCCCATAGGCCAGATTTATTTTGCTGGGGTTGCGGAGTTAGTGGATTTTATAGACTCCCTTAGTCTCTGGAGTGGGGACAAAAATGAGAGGTTCAGGGTGCGGAACAAGGCTGCCAGCAAGTGGGATAGGGATGGGGATGCATGATCTGGGAGGAAGGTGGGGTGCAGGAGAGGGAGAGGTTGCGAAGTCTGGGTGGGAGGTGGGGTGCAGAAGCAGGCTGGGAGTAGGGTGTCTGGCCAGGGGGAAGGAGCAGGAGCAAGGAAGGTGCAGTTTGAGTCCAGGAGGGAGGGTGCAGGAGCAACGGTGGATGTATGAACCGGGTGCGGGTAGGTGTCTGGCCTGGGGAGAGGATGCAGGAGCAGGGGAGGGCATAAGAGCAAGCTAAGGGTATGTGATCTCGGTGAGGGGAGGAGAGTGAGGGAGAAGGATTGGGGTACAGGGAGGGAGGGTGCAGGAGCAACGGTGGATGTATGAACCGGGTGCGGGTAGGTGTCTGGCCTGGGGAGAGGATGCAGGAGCAAGGGAGGGCATTAGAGCAAGCTGAGGGTGCGTGATCTTGGTGGGAGGAGGAGAATGAGGGAGAGGGATTGGGGTGCAGGGGTCTGGGCATGAGGGCGGAAGTTCACCTGGCTTCCCGCCCCCTTGCAGTGGGGAAAATCTCTGGACAGCATACTGCTGTTCCCCCAGCGGGGTGGGGAGGGAGCTCAGCCTCTCCTCCCCCAAGCAGTGGGGAGCCCGCAGCCATGAGTCTGCAGCACCCCCTCCCCGCTCAGAAGGCACACAAGGGAAGGGGGAGAGAAGGGGAAGAAAGCCCCGATCTTCCCCACCAGACCCGGCTCGCGGAGAATGGCAGAGCATGGAGTGGGGAGGGGTGGAGGGAGAATGGCAGTACATAGATCTTACCTACGGAGCTCTAAGGCACTGAGGTCCGGGAGCAGCTCCACCGGCTTTTGCCTTGGACCCCTCTCAGCCCGTCTTCCCTCCTATCCCTTCCACTGCCGCACCCTTGGCCAGTCTCCCAAAGGCCAATGACCCTGCTGCTCTTTGCAGCTTTCTCAGAGGGCCTAAGGGGGTTGGAAACTCTCTCCCTCGCCCATGTTACACAGGCCAGGGCTCAGAGCTTGTTTCAAGCCAAGCCCCCGGTTTAACTTTGCTCCAGGGCAGCCCCTCAGCAGCAACTGTTCCCAGCAGCCGCTGTAACAAAGAGCAAGCAGCCTGGAGAAGGAGGAAGATGAGGCACAGCCGGACCGGGGGCCCCGTACTCCAGAGGCAGTCCCGTGCGGGGAGGGAAGAGGCTGTGCGGTGCATGGTGGTGGGGTAGTGGGTGGCGCCGTGCACCACAATGGACCTTGGGGAATGCGGTGTGAGCCATAGATGGCAATGAGGGGCCGTTGGTGGGGGTGGGCTGCCAGGCCCGATCCGGCAGGGAGAGCGAGCAGCCAGGCCCTGGCCCACAGTGTGGCGATTAGAGTGACACCATTTTGGGGGCATCCTTCCTGTGGACCACCTGTAAGGCAGCTGTGGACCACTAATGGTCTGCGGACTGCACTTTGAGAGCCAGTGAATTACGGTAACGCCTAGAGGTCCCAGCAGAGCTCAGGGCTCATCGACCTGAGGAGAGGAACAGGAAGGTGTTGCGTGATGGAGACATAAAGGGTCCCCCAAGGACCATCAGGGTAGGGACTTAAGGCACCAGGAACCTTCACCCTCACACTGACCCTAGAGAGCGCCCCATACTGAGTCAAGCACATCACTCCTGGCAGCTCGAGGCTCTTTGCCATGGCACAGGCTGAGAGCAGAGAGCGCCCCCAACTGAATCCCTGCAAGCCAATCTGATGCCTGATGCTTACCTCTTTCTGGGCCATTTTGAAAGGGGTGGCGTTCTTCATGTGGTGCTTTCTGATACCGCTCCACCGGGTCCGGTAGTCCGTAATGGGGTCAACAGGCATAATGTACTTGTCATACACCACGTCACCATGGTAACTGACAATGCTACACCTGGCCAGGTCACTGCACCTTCCGCCAGGGCCCGTGCCCACCATCTCACAGTCCATGGCCACCACTTTGCTGGGCTTGCCCGGCCCGGACACCGAGGACAAGCCACTGTCATACTCGCTCAGCAAGCTGGCTTTCTGCACGTCAGCAAAGGGCTGGGTGCTGTGGTTCCCTGGGGGCCCACTGGCCACAGTTGATCTACACGACACCTTCTTCACCCCCAAAGGAAAACAAGGCATATGGGAGCCAGAGTCTGTGGTGGCGCTGGGCTGGCCAAAATGACAATGGTTATTTGTCATGAAGGGTTTGGGCTGATGGGAAAACCCATCTGTCTGGAAAGAATTCTGATCGGTCCCTACTCTGTCGTTGGCAAGCCACTTCTTCTTAGTCCTCTCCCAGTAGTTGGAGTCTTGACGGGAGACCTGGCCTTTGGGGGGACGATGCTGCGGGGGCGGCAGCTGCTTCTGCTTCAGAAAACCCCTCCTCTCCAGGAAGCGGCGCCGTTTCACAAAGCGCTGGTGTTTCTGGCTGCTTTCGGTCCCCCTCTTGGGAGCCTGCTGGAGGCCCACATCCAGGTTTATGATCAAATCTGACATGGTGGGTTCCGGAGGAAGGCAGCAAACATGAGAAGGGACGACGGAGAAAGGTCCTGGGTCTCTTCCACCCGTCAAGCAGCCGGCTCCATACACGCTGCTCAATAGAGTCTTGAGCCCTCACCTGAAACAGGAAATTAAGAATGTTTCCACTTCTTATTAGAGGAATTCACGTTGACAGAGGAATCTCGTGCTTAAACGCTCTCCGCATTCGCATCATTCCACTCCCCAGTGAAATGCACCTGCTCAAGTGACAGCTATTGGCATGACCACACTACATCACAGATCAGGCCAGGAAGTACAGAAAAATCCTGTATACGGCTGAAAGTACAAGGAGCACTGAGGTTCAGGACTCTGGCCATCAGACCAACAATTATAGGAATGATCAAGGTTTCCATTTTATGTCTCATCTGGAAATCAACACCTGCAGACGAATAGCACATGGACCCCTGGATTTTGGGTAGTGGCAACACCTAGTAGATATCTGACCACACTGCATGGAACCCACTAGGTTTGTCTTGCAGGCAGTGTGAAACTGACTCACTCCTGCTCAGCCTGTGATCTTCTAAGATCAGTTTGTGACACTATGGCTGCGGCTACAGCCACATTTGATGGCTCATTATGCAGTTTATCAACCAACAAATAATGAAAGTATCATCTTTGGGGCTTACTTCAATTCCTCATTTTTGTGTGTGGAAAATAGCCAAAAATGTAGGGTTCAGGAGCATAAATGGTGTATGTAAAAGACCAAAGCTCCAATGTGTGTAGAACAAGGCACAGCATTTCTTTCACTCCTTCAACACACTCCATTTTAATCTGGACTGAACCTTCCAGTGAAGTGCTGGAGACACAAACAAACCAGCTTTGTGCTGGTGCCTGAGAAACCGAGAGTGAAAGAGCCCAAACGATGAAAGGTAACTGGGATTTTCAAAACTCTTCCTGGATAAAAAGCCTCAGTTGTAGCAGAGCAAAGGGGACTAGAAATGGTAGTTTTTGTCTTGGCAGCAGCCCATTACAGGTAAGAAGCACGTGTGTGGCAGAGGTCTATGGCACTTCCAACTAGGGATGTAAAATCCCCTGTAATTGGTTAGCCGTTTAAACATGAAGTTTAACCGGTTAACCAATTAAAGGGGGGTGCGCTTCAGCTCTTTTGGGCTGGAGTGCCCTGCTCCCCGCTGTGGACCAGGCTGGAGCAGCCCCTGCCCGCAGTCCCCCTTGGTCACCATCTGCTCTGGACACCCCCACTGACAGTTAGGTGCTTCAATAATGCTTCCCCCACTGTTCAAAACTCTCTGCTAATGCCTGGTCTAGTCTCTCTCTGGCTCTGATACTCAACACCCATGACTGGGCGCCTTCCAGTTAGGCATTAAGCGACAGCACCGACATCTGTCGTGTTTGTTCTCTCATCCTCTCCCTAGGGGAGGCGCAGGTGCCGTTAAGTGTCGTGTTCTTTGGGGTTTGTTTCTTTTTTTAAACAATACATTGCGCTGGCCCCCTCCTCATGCTCAGCCCCTCGCCCAGGAACCCGTAACCTCTTCAGTGCCACATCTCCTCCAAGAGATCACCCATCCTCCTCATTGTCTCACATCGAATGATCTTTCCCAACACCGACTTCCACCTGCCCCCCTGCTTTCCTCTCCCCCACTGAGCCCCCCTTACCCGCCCCC